ACGGACTCGTAAGCACCCCGCTCCCCTTCTACCCGCCGCCTGGGAGTTCTTGGATTGGGGCGCCACGCTCGGGACTGTGTGCTGACGCCGTGCGCTCTCGCTCGCTCGCAGGTGCCGGGGCTGGCCGTGGTCATCGTGGGGAGCAGGAAGGACTCGCAGACGTACGTGAACATGAAGCGCAAGGCGTGCGCCGAGGTCGGCATCTGCTCCATCGACGTCGACCTCCCCGAGGACATCTCCGAGCCCGCGCTCGTCGCCGAGGTTCATCGCCTCAACGCCGACCCCGCCGTGCACGGTACCGCCCCCCATTTCTTTTCTTTTTTTCCTTCCTTCGCCTTGCTTGCTCTTGGTCACTTGGTTGGTTGTCAGGCGTCCAGCATGGTACTCTGATTGTGTTGCGAATGTAGTAATCTCTCTGCTTGCCTGGTCACTCTGGAGATGGTTAGATTTCCGTTATATTGTGAAAATAAGGTGAATGGTCAGATGCTTACATGTTCACTTGTTTTATCTGATGATGCTGAATGGTCAGATACTTAGATGCTCAGTTGTGTTATCTGATGATGCGGTGCCTGTGGGCTGCGGTGATACCATTCCTTTGCAGACCGGCATCCGCAGTCCTCCAGGTTTGAAGTTCAGTGGATTTGGAATGATCCTGTCTCCATCGAGTGTACATTTCTGTTTCGATGCTAGGAATTGGAATCCTTGAGTTCTTTCACACAGCAGGATCTGAAAAGAGTATTCTATAAAACTGGTATCAGCTCTGCACGGTATATATGTGTTATCTTTTGGAGCTGTCACTCACTACACTGGGCATCACAACTTATGTATCCCCCCAGTTGCAAATTCGCATGGATAAGTAAAGGGAACAAATGGCCAAAATAAATATCACTCTAATGTTTTGTTTTGGTGTGATTTATTTCTTACCTAATGCTACAGCATTCTCCCATGAACTCGATTTGCTGAGCTTTTTTTTTTATTTGCTGAGCTTTCAGTTTGTGTTCTCATTCTATTACACAACACCGGAGACTTTGGTTGGCCAAGTTCAGATACAATATTAGTTTCGCCCATGGAGAGCTCAAACATTGCATTATTTCGATTGTAAATTAGAATCCATAGCTAAAAATCTGGGCACGGTCAATCTAAGCTCAATGTTTTCCACAAAATTTGAACTTTGAGCTCTGTACATTGTTGATCGGTTTGTCTTTTCATAACTACGTAGATGAGTGTCATGCCATATGGAGGGGTTCTAAAATGAACTTTCTACCTCCCCATTGGATTCGTAGAGAGGCTGCAAGATCAGTTTGCTGGTGCTTGTATGAGGCAGTTATGTTTAATTTGATTCATGCCTTGTTCTAATTTCTTGAAATACTGACTATTTGATCATAATGGTTTCATAGAATCCAAATCCTTGTTCCAAATTATGAAGGAAAGCTAATTCAGTTTGCTTTCAGGGATCCTTGTCCAGCTTCCACTTCCTAAGCACATCAATGAAGAAAAGATACTGAGCGAGATTTGCATTGAGAAAGATGTTGATGGGTTTCATCCTCTCAATATTGGCAAGCTTGCAATGAAAGGCAGAGAGCCACTGTTCGTACCATGTACACCAAAGGTATTGGAACAATTGGCACAACATTTCTCTACCCTTCAATAGAACACTTAATTTGTGTTGCTGTTTTCACTTGCCATTCCTAATCTTAGTATCAGTTTTTTTCCTCAAAAAAAAAATTCTTAGTACCGGTTTTTCCTTTGAAGGGATGTATGGAGCTCTTGTCAAGGAGCGGAGTCACTGTTAAAGGTAAACGGGCAGTTGTGGTTGGTCGCAGCAACATTGTCGGGCTACCTGTATCCCTGCTCCTTCTGAAGGCAGATGCGACTGTATCTATTGTGCACTCACGGACCCCTGATCCAGAAAGCATTGTACGCGAAGCTGACATAGTCATTGCAGCAGCTGGTCAGGCTATGATGGTATGTAGCTACTGCAACAAATTCTCACAGTAAGATGCAATGTCCTGCAATCCATCGACCATTGTTTGCTGAGTCATTGTGCTCTTTTCTTGGTTGTCAGATCAAAGGGGATTGGATCAAGCCAGGTGCTGCGGTTATCGATGTTGGGACGAACTCTGTTGATGACCCTACCCGGAAGTCTGGGTACCGACTCGTCGGCGATGTAGATTTTGCAGCGGTGAGCAAGGTTGCTGGTTACCTGACTCCAGTTCCAGGAGGCGTTGGCCCAATGACAGTTGCAATGCTGCTGAAGAACACGGTGGATGGGGCAAAGCGGGGAATAGTCGAGTAGGGCTTTCAAAATGACGGTTGCAATGCTGGGTTATGCTGTTGAAGAACACGGTGGATGGGGCAAAGCGGGGAATAGTCGAGTAGGGTTTTCATCTCAGTTCTCATTGCTGCACGATCTGTATTGCAAGGATGTGAACTGACTCAAAAGTGTGTTGATGTAAGAATTTGTTCCTCATTTTGGCTGTTTCAACTCCCCAAGAATAATGAGCCTGTTCGCTTGGTCGTATTTGGCTTATAAGCTATGGCTTATCAGCCAACGAACAGTATTTTTCTCTCACACCAAACCAGCCAACAGTACTTTCAGCCATGGCTTATAAGCCAAACAAGCCCAAACAAACAGGGCGCAATAATAGTCATAGCAGCTTTCCAGTATAATAAATGCAATGAAAAAAAAGTTTGCTGGTTTTGCTGCTGCTCCAAATTACAGGTGACACAAAGCTTATGATTGAAAGTTGAAGGGAGGAATGGGCAAGAGGGTGGTGGCGGTGTTTATAGATTTAACAGAAACACATGGAAACTTATAGGATTCTAATTTCTAAGGATTTAGTTCCTGTAGTAGCCTTTGGTTCATAAGAATAAGTCACATGAAAAATAAAGGAAAAACCTCTTTCCCTCTGATTCCATAAAAAATTCTAGTAAACACCTTATAAGGTTTTTAAACCGTAAAAAAAATGTTTCTAAGCTTCTAAAAGTTCTAGAAAATCCTAGAAATATATGGCGTTTGTATTTAACGTTACAAAGGTTTACGGCATTTTTTTATCACAGGCTCTTGGACCATGCCACGTAGGCAGATGCTTAAATGTTAACATGGCGCTTAGTTGAGAAATCATGGAAACATCATAAAATTAAAATTAAAATGTGGCCTCTTAGAGCCCATGTAGTAGGAAGGCATATAATGGGTCATGCCAATTGTTTAGGCTGATTTTTTCCGTACCAGCCTATTATTTTGTTTTAGGACAAAATTTTTATTATGTACATCCCACAAATATTTAATGTAACCCAGCCCATTCACATGTATTTCGGTTGGCCCATCACATACTAGGCCAAACTCATCAGGCACAATTGCCAATGACCAAGCCCGTCCCATTTAAACATTCACCGCAAGTTATACCATTCACACAGCCCATTCAATCATTATCACAATTATTTTTTGAGAATTACAAGGTTCAACGTCCATAACACGCGCGCACACTCACCTCTATCGACACACTACGCAAACCTTACCCATATGAGCACATCCGAAAGACTGAGCCGATAAATCTTGAGATTCACGAAGTCAGCATAGGCGCCTGAATGATGAGCCGGTAAATCTCGAGATTCACGAAGTCACCACAGGCGCCTCCCCATCGACGGGAACGTATGTACCAGCAAATCTTGAGATTCACGAAGTCACCACAGGCACCTCACTGATGACCACTAAAAGCATCGCGCCATAAATCAAGTAAAATGCGAGCATTCGTGCCAAGTCGAGGACTTAAATTCAGGTGGACAGGTTCCATCAAAGAACCCAACCAACTGATCTATGATCAGTTTGCAACCATTATCACAAATTGATGATACATAATATTTGTTTTTGTTTTTTTGACAACATACATAATATTTGTTAGCACAACCTCACTACTAGACGTCCAGACCAAGGATCGTAGAACATATATTAAAGACATGATACCAATATAAATTCTACAATAAGTACTACTTTGGTCTCCTACCAAATGCAAGAGGAGTACATTTTCATAGCCAGAGGCCATCCGTAGCAAAGTAGCTCAAGTGAAAGGGGCAAAGAGTATATCAAATTAACATTGAAGTGGCTCCATTAATCAACAAGAGGTGGATTTTATTCGACAATGGGTTGGCAACTTATAGACAATTTTGATCCAATTAATTTTGAAGGTTGAAAATACACTTTTATAACTTTTATCAACCTCTCCTAAAAAAAATCGGACCTATCAACCAGATCCAAGAAGAGGCCACGATCGCGCTCACTCGCTCGAGGCTCAACTAAACTGCTGCCCACGAGGTGCACGAGGTGTTGTTTTCTTTATTTCTTTCTCATAAAAGTATTTTTCTCTTAAGTACTTTTAAAAAAAAATCCACTCAATCTCTTATGATAGATCAGGCCAGTTCGTTCGTCCTATTATGATATTCAGGATTAAAAGGTCTTGAATTCTCTTTCGGATAGGCCCTGAGAGGAGAAGAGAAGCTAAAATGCTAACAGACCTCTGTCTAATTCACCCAATAGTACCCGTTTAATATTTTTTAACAAAAAAAATACGATGTGTTCTTCCTCAATCTCAAAATAAGTGCTCATCTCGCATCTCGGAAAGTCAATCGAACTTAAGTTTAACTAAATATATATAAAAATATACTAATATTTATAATACTAAATAAATATCATTAGATTAAACATTCGTTGTAAACTTATTTAGTAACACAAATATCAATACTATTTTTTTATAAATCTAGTAAAACTTAAAATTGATTGACTTGTTAAGATGGAAACGTGCATTTATTTTAGAAGGGAGTACCATTTTTTAAAGTTATCTCTAGGACCGACCGACAAGAATTGAAGGTGGTGTAAAGTTGGCTCGCTAGCTAAACTCACTGAGGTAGTCAGGTGTGATTCCCAAGCTCTCTCGATCTCGAGTCATCTATCGTCGGTCGTCGTCGTCACTCTCGCATCTCGCTCACTTGCCGCCGAGACCGCGATGGCGCAGATCATCGACGGCGAGGGCATTGCCGCCGACATCCGCCGCGAGGTCACGGCCAGGTCGCCGCGCTGTCCTCCGCCCACAGCATCGTAACCACAAGCACCCTCCCCCCCTCCCCGTGCTCTGTCGACGCGGAGACAGATGACCGGTGCTCTGCTCGCAGGTGCCGGGGCTGGCGGTGCTGATCGTGGGGAGCTGGAAGGACTCGCGGACCTACGCCGACATGAAGTGCAACGCCTGCGGCGACGTCGGCATCCGCTCGGTCCTCGTCGACCTCCCCGAGGACACCTCCGAGGCCGCGCTCGTCGCCGAGGTCCACCGCCTCAACGCCGACCCCGCCGTGCACGGTATGCGCATGCCGCCCCTAGCTCCTTGCTTGCTTTCTCTTCTTCTCTCCTCTGTTGCTGGCAGTGACACTCTACTTACCATTAATGGGAGCAAAAGAACACATGTTAGGATGCTCCCATTGTAAGCTTAACGGCCTGAGGATAGTCGTCATAAAGTTCCCAGATCGATGGATTATTGGGGACGGGCGACGTTCCACTCCCATTGTACAAAGCTGTTCGGCTGATGGTTTTAGGCCGGCGGAAGCTGATTTGTCGTGAAAAAAACAGTGTACCATACCTATAAATCTACAGTTCATATGTACGTATTATGTGGACATGGATAGGGTTGCGTGTCTTGAAAGAGAAGAAACGAGAATGATGATTGATGAGATGCTTAGATTGTCACTTCACTCGTGGTGTAGTACAGTACTGGTATCTGATGATGATGCGTTGATGCTAGCCGTGCCTGCGGGCTGCAGTATGATTTCTTTTGCTTCGACATCATAGTATCCTTGCACCTCCAGGTCAGTCCACTGGATTTGGTCTATCGTGTCATTGTCGAATAGGCAAATCTACTCGTCTCTGATTTGATGCATAGGATTGGATGAAGTTGGATCAGAAGAGACCGAGTAGTTCACGTTTGAACCCAGCTTGCTGCTAATAATTAGCAACTAAGAATTAGCAACAGTAGATCCAAACATGCTAATGCTAAAACGTGTGCTAGTGACTAGTAGAATTAGCAATGTGAAGGTTAACATCCTGTTTGATGGACTAGGAGGACTTGTTTGGATTGTTAATTAGGTAGTTAAATTTAGCCAAAATTAGTTCTAACTCATCGAAACAAGGGCTAATGGATAGGTTAATTTTTAGCCCAGCTAGTAGTAACTAGTCTTAGCTGATCCAAATAGACTCTAATTGTTGGTTGGTTATTAGCTAGAGCTAATTGTTTGGATCAAGGACTAATAGATAATACTATTCCCACGTAAAGATGTTTATGCCCCTTGGCCCCCGCTAGCACACGCATATCAGGGAGGGGCGTCTTAATTAGACTTTTCCAACATTGGTTGCTCCTATTAGTCCCATTTAGTTGGGTTTGGCCAACTAATAATGGACTAACCAGTAGTCGGAGGCTTGATAAAAAATAGCCCACCTATTAACCCTCTGTTCGGATGTTATTAGAGTCTAAAAACTAAGCAGCTAATTGTTAGTCTGATCCCATGGATCCAAACAGGACCCGACGGCAAGTGCTAAAATTAATAGATCAAAATAGGACATAGGCGAGTAGTAAATGGGTGGCACTAGGCTGAGCGTGGTGTCCGATGGATTAGTGGACTAGCTTGGCGTGTAAGTTTTGGAACAGACTTGGATAAGGACTCCCTCTTCTAGCACCCAACATACCCTAATTATAGTTCTCCGAACCGCGCCTCAGTCCCCTTCTCCTTCCATTCTGGTAGCCTACCTAGTGGTGACGAGGAAGCGAGACACCGGAAAGAAGAAGGGAGAATTATCTATTTGGCACCGAAACAAATCAATGTTTTGTATTTGGCACTCAAAAATTTGAACTTTCTTATCTGGCACATAATTGAAAATTACTTTCGTAAATGGCACTACCGTCCATTTATGACAGTAACGGTGTCAAGTGACTGGCAAAATGACTTGAATACCCTTGTTTGCTGCAGAAACCCACGGTGCCAAATAGGGAAATTCAGGTATTTTCGCGGGTCGGAATGGCAGCGGCTGGGCGGAGCTCTGGTGCTGCTCGGCGGCGCTTCGCGCGAGCTCGGAGCGAGCGAGAGAGAGAGAGAGAGCGAGCAGAGAAGACCAAGAAGAAGTTGCTCGCCTGCGACACCGCTGCCATCCTTTGCCCACTTTCAAGCTCACGCCTGCGTGCTGCTGCGCCGCCACCGGACGAGAAGGCAGCGAGCGAGCTGCCGAGCCGCCGCCGGTCTCGCGTGCAGGGGCCGGGGGCACTGCTGTCGCGCAGATGGTGGTCGGCCTCGCCCTCGGCTGGCCATGGCAACGGCGAGCGCGTGCGCCCGGAGCTCCGCTCCACCATGGCGGCGCGAAGGTGAGCATGGCCTACATGAGCACGCCTCGGAGCACGCCGACGGTGGCCCCAGCACGGGTACGCGGCTCGTTGAACAGAGGCCGGGGGCGGCCTCCCGCGGGGTGGCCTGCTCGCATCCCGTGGTGGTAGGAGAGTCGGGGCTGCTGCGTGGTGTTGAGCTCGGACACGCCATGGAGGCCGCGCGATGGACTGCGTCGTGGACCTCGTGGAGACCGGCGCCACCGTCATCAGGCTGGGCTCGGCGTTCCATGCGAACATGAGCGAGCCCAACCTCACCATGCGGCCGATGCCGGATCCGGATGCCGGGGCGGAGCTGATGGAGTCGGACTTCCTGGCGAGCGTCACGCCGGTGACCGAGGCGCTGGTGTTCATGTCCATCTCCTCGGGGCCGCTGGGGCTGATGGGGACAGAGGTGTACCCGGGCCAGCGCCCGGACACGGAGTAGTGGACGAGCGAGCGGAGCGCGGAAGCGCTGGCGGAGTTCTGGACGAGGTTGGAGGCGACGCAGACAGAGACGGGCACGCCTCGGTCGAACTCGAGGGCGAAGTACACCATATCCGCGGCGGTGTCGACGAAGACGAGCACGTCCTGGTCAAACTCGGGGTCAGCCTCGTACAGTGGCACAACAGGGCCGGGGAAGAAGGTCGCGGGATCTGGGATTATGGGTCTCGGTTAAATTTCAGTCTTAAAACAGAGGGGTATATTGGACAAAGGGAGAAAAAACTGGTATGGTCAAACCAGTCAACTAACAGATGATCAATGAAAATGGACGGCAGTGTCATTTAAAAAAAGAAATTTTAACTTGATGACAAATAGAAAAGTTCAAATTTTCAAGTGACAAATACAAAACACTGATTTGTTTAAGTGCCAAATAGATAATTCTAACCCTTCTCGCAATTAGCCTCTAACATCAGCATCGCTTCATGGGAGTGTGCTTTGTGTTGATCTCGTCTCCTCTCCTATGCACAGCTACACATTCTCATCACTGTCCTCAGCCAGTCCACCTAAGCTTTCAGCAGGCCCCAAATCACAGCCTCCATTTTCGATTTGGGTGCTGCATCTGCTCCGGCAGGAGCTCCCAAATCAAAGCCCTCAAATCCTTTTAATACACAATGACAAATAGGACCACTTGTCATCTTCAATGTTTTACCCTCTAAGCTATCGCAATGTGAACAGAGGAAGGGAGGGGCTCGGCTTGACGAGCGCCGGGATCGAGCGGCGGGCCTGGGGACGGAGGGGAGGAGCTGAACTCCTAGATTCGTAGCAACCGGGAGCCGCCGGGAAGACCTCGATTCAGAGCAGCGGGGAGCTTGACGAGCGCTGGGATCGAGCGGCGGGCCTGGGGACGGAGGGGAGGAGCCGAACTCCTAGATTAGGAGCAACGGGGAGCCGTCGGTAAGACCTCGATTCAAAGCAGCGGGGACTGTATGAGCCGCCGGGAAGACCAAATCCACGCCGTCGGCCGTGCGGGCTTGCTGTGCCGTCACGTCTGTCGCGCCGAGGAGGAGGCCGCGCCAGGGAGGAGGACACGCTGGGAAGGAGGCCGCGCGCCAGGGAGGAGGCCGCACCGTGGAGGAGGCCACGAGCAGGGCGGCGCTCCACCGTGGGACGAGCTCCGCCTGGCCGTGCGAGCAGCACGGCGCGAGCAGGGTAGCGCAAGCAGAGCAGCGTGCTGGAAACGAACGGAAGCAACGACCGGATGGGGGCTAGTAGGGGTCCTGTTGGAGTCTTATTTTTGGCTTGACACCCATATTTAACTATGAAGGCTGAAGCAGGGCCCTGCTGCAGTTGTTCTAAATAGAGGTATCCGTCTTAATTGGGTTGTATCTCACATCTAGCCAGCACAAAATGTGCTCAATGCCGGTATAGGGGCAAGCAAGCTCAGGGATCTCAGCTGCCTCGACACTGATGGGACCTGCCTCAGATCAATGGAGTGGTCGTGATCATGGTTGGAGTCATTGGGAGGGAGCTCTGCATTGTGAATCTTGGCAGATCCCAGACCCTAACCCCGCTTGCCTCCTCTCCCCTCCTCTCCCTGACGACATCGGCACATTGTTGATGGTCATTGTGCTGATTCAACTTCTAGATTCGTTAGCACCAGAAAGAGTAGTTCAAGTTCATGGTGGAGCTCCTAGGTACTACATCCAACGATTCTATAGTCTACACAAGGTACCAAAAGCACTACATCGTTAGGAGGGACCAAGTCAGGACACACAACAACAATGGTGTGCCCTAGCTGGTCTAACCACCCTAGGTTCCCTATGAAGTCGTAGAGATGAAGGAGAATGGACATCAATTATGATTGGAAAAGTGGAGTGGGATATAGCTAAAAACTAGTAAATTGATTTGATTGATTGTCCTTAAACCATATTTATAGGCCTTCTTTAAGACAATTTAGTCAGAAACCCTTCAAACCTATAGTGTTGGATTAATCCCTCAACACCATACATAGACGGGAGGTTTTGGTTGCCCAAGTTCAAGTAACAAATTGGTTCGTGCATGGATAGATGAAGCATTCTATCGTTCCTGGATAAAAAAATCTAGGCATGGTCATGAATCCAAAATGAATATTTTCCCAAAAAAAAAACTGAGCTAGTTCATTAGCTTGTTTTTCCATAACCATTAATAGAGGACTAAGAGGAGTATTATCCAATGTGGAGTATCTTTTTTAGAAATGATGAAGTCCTTTCTAGCTCCTCTTGCCTTCATTTCCTAGAAAGCCTACATCATTAGTTTGCAGAGATGCTAGTGCAAGCCACATGCATCTAATGACGATTGATTGATTCATGTCCATTCTACCTATATTTAATACTTATTGTTTGAATGCAAAAGAATCAAATCCTTGTTCCAAATTATGAAGGAAACTTATTGACTTTGCAACTATGTGCTATCATTCCAGGCATCTTTGTCCAACTTCCATTGCCTAAGCATATCAATGATCAGAAGATACTAAATGAGATCAGTGTTGAGAAAGATGTTGAAGGGTTTCATCCTCTCAATATTGGCAAGCTTGCAATGAAAGGCAGAGAACCTCTATTCATACCATGTATAGCAAAGGTATCTTGCATTATTATTAATGAAGACCCCAAACGGAGTCGTCCACGTAAATCCACAAGAAACATGCTAGAAAACAAATCTTACCAATTTTCACAAAAATCAGAAACATCAACAGCTATCAAGGTAGTCTCAAATATGATTGGCAAAAACAATGATTCAATCCATTTGTTTTCTATAAAAATGCGCATATTTTGCCATTATGAAAAATAATATAAAGTAACACCCTATATCTACATCTAAATTACTCATGAGTGTCACTATGAAAGATAAAATAGCCCCTAAATTTGCATGTAAATTGTATGTCGTTATAAAAGATAATATAAAGTAGGGATAAGTCCTACTTTGGTCATCAAATTATTGATTGAGTTTATTTTCCTCATAAAACTCCAAAACTAGGATCTTGGGCCAACAAAGTAGAAAAAAGGGACAAATCTGGCATCTAGCTAGTTTCAAAGGTATTTCCATTTCCTAAATAACAACAATAAAATCTAGTTTGATCTCAAAAAATTCACAAGTGAAATTCACTTTAAATTATAAAACTAGTATCATATTTTTTTCTTAAGATATACTCCCTCTGTTCTAAATTATAAGTCATTTTGACTTTTTGGTTCATCCATTTTGCTATGTATCTAGATATAATATTATATCTAGATACATAGCAAAATAAATGTATCAAAAAAGTCAAAGCGGCTTATAATTTGGAACGGAGGAAGTAATTATTGTCAGTGCTCTATTTGCATAATCTTATTTGTCTCTGTTTCTAGTGTTTTGTTGATCGCAGTTGCGCCTATTATTTATTTAAATTGTCATTCCATCCTTTTCCTTTATGTTGTTTGCATCATTAGTTGATTGCAAGATGTTTGAGCCCCTTGTTGTTATGAAACCTATTACCTAATCATATGATGAACATAAAATTAGTCTCTAACCATGAAAATTCATATGGGATCTTTATGAATGGAGCATGCCATCAGGGAGGTTGGTGCCATCTTCTAGATTTTCTATGCACTCAGCCATTCATAGGATTCTCTTAGATGATCCTAGGGTCTAATATAGCGCAAAAAAAGATAATTTAATTAAATAAAAAGCACAATTACAAGCAATAAAATACTAGGAACACGAACAAATAAGACGCAAATAATTCCAAGTAAAGATGAACGTGTAGATAATAGATTTTTTAGAAGAAAAAATATCATTTCCATATTTGTTTTGATTTAAAACGAATCACTTATGAATATTAGAGAGGAAACCGGATATTTTTTTCCAGAAAACAAAAACCCCACCTTTGAACTAGTTTGATGGCCAAATTTGTGTAGTTTTGATAATTCAATAGCCAAATGTTTCTGGTTTTGAACTTTCATGGACGGAAACAAACTCGAAATATAGTCGGATGCCCAAAAATAGCCTTCTCACTATAAAGTAAGCCCCCTAAATTTGCATCTAGCATCTCAACCATTCTAAAACATAATGTAAATCACTCGCCTCTGCTATTACAAAATATGATCTAAGCAACCTTTTAAATCCACGTCTAAATTACCAATTCTCTAGCATTGTTAAAATATAAACTAAAATGTCTGATCAAATTTACTTCTAAATTATCTAATATTATGGTAAATCAAATAACCATAAAGTACGCCATTTTTTTCTGATTCCACTTGTGATTAGAATCGATTTTTTTTCCTTTGATTTGAAGGCATGCATGGAGCTCCTGTCACGGGGCGGGGTCAGTGTCAGAGGCAAACTCGCAGCTGTGGTTGGCCGCAGCAACATCGTCGGCCTGCCTGTGTCTCTGCTCCTTCTCAAGGTACGCCAAGCTGACATAGTCATTGCAGCCGCTGGGCGGCCTATGATGGTATATGTACTATGTATGTATGTACCTGCCCACAATTTGATGCTCGCAACACCCTGTAATCCATCACGGATGAGTCTTCTCTGCAGTTGAGTCACTGGTAAGTGGGTCTGATTTGGCAGAGGAGCCGGCATTGCTCACGGTTTCATGTTCTTGGTTTGTCATCAGATCAAAGGGGATTGGATCAAGCCAGGTGCCGCGGTCATCGATGTTGGGCACATAGTCAGTGCAGCAGCTGAGCAGGATGTGATGGTATGTACACACATGCAGCTACCACAACAAAATCCTCATAGTTTTGGTGCAAACCATCTCCCAGTGCTTACTGACTACTGAGTCACTTGCTCTGTGTGCTCTTTTCTTGGCTGTTCTCAGATCAACGGTAACGGAGATCTGATCAAGCCAGGTGCTGTGGTCATCCATGATGCTGACACCGACTCTGTTGACGATGACCCTGCCGAACTTGTCGGCGATGTAGATTTCGCAGAGGTGAGCAAGGTTGCCGGTTTCCTGACTCCAGTCCCAGGAGGCGCTGGCCCCATGATGGTGGCGATGCTGCTCAAGAACACCGTAGATGCCACAAAGCAGGGCCAGGGAATATGCAAGGATGCCAAGTGACTCACAAACTGTGTTGGTGTAACGTTCTCTTACTGCTCCCCATCTTGGTTGTTTCAACTTGACCAAGAATAACAACAGTAGCCATACTGATGTCCTGGACTCCTGGTTAATAAATGCAATGAAAAAAAAACAGGTTGCTGGCTTTGTTTCTGTTCCAAATTACAGGTGAGGAAAAAAAACTTTTGATTTCAAGCACCAAAAAATATAATTCACAATATGTCACGGCCTGATTCATCAGCATAATGCATTGGGATTCAAGGGATTCCAATGACTGTAACAAGTGGCTCTCTTACCAACCCGACTGAAACATTCACATCAGTATAAACTGTAATGCTGCAATATCATTCTCATCCTAATTGATTTTGTCTCAAATGGATGTCAAAAGATCAACGCCTAAAATTTCCCTTAGGATCTACTCAATCTATTCTTCAGCTCTTCAACAAAATCCTTCCTATCAACCTCGTATTCCTGGTTGGCTTCAACATCCTTCAACTTCACAGTTCCTTTCTGCAGCTCCGACTCGCCGACCAGCACCATCCACGGAATGCCTGATTGCAAGGCATACTTGATGTGGTTCGCCACCCTGGTAGTGAGCTTGAACTCTGCCTTTATCCCAGCATTCCACAGCTCGCTCACGAGCTCAGCAGCTAGTGTAAGGTCCTTTCCCAGAATCGACACCAGCACTTCTGTCTCTGTAGGCCGGATCTTCTACAGTTCAAGAAAAAATTATTAAGTTGCTACAAGTACCCTTGAAAGAAGAAGGATAAAATGATAGAGCGCTCAACTACCTCATTTCTTTCTTTCTCCTGTTGCTCCATGATTGCAAAGACTCTCTCAATTCCAAGGCTCACACCGACAGCAGGGATTTGCTTCCCGCTAAACATACCCACAAGGTTGTCGTACCGACCGCCAGCCGCGATGGAGCCAACCTGTTGCCAAATATTGTTAGTACATGAATCAACTAAAATGGTCTTTAGTTCCTTGAGAGTTAGAAAAGGGTGCGTGTAACTGCATATGCGATGACAAATAGTAAAAAGAAAAAATGTTGAATATATCAATTATCAATGAATTGATTTTTCTTTTTTTTTTAAAGCAATGTATTGAGTTGATGAATAATAACAGTATGCTTTAAGAAGATCCAGAGTACTGATGAATTAACTTGAACATCACTGTGCAGTGATAAGTAATTATTTCTAACCTGAGCCGCACCCTTGAAAACGGCTTCATATATGACGCCAGTGTAGTAATCAAGGCCCCTGGCCAAACTTAAATCAAAAACTATCTTGTCTATTGCATTTGCTTTATCCAGAGCCTTGAATAATATCTCCAGCTCATTCAGTGCAGCAACAGACCCTTCATTATCCATAAACTTGCTGCCCTCCTTTCTCAACTCCATCAAAACTTCCAACGGGGGTCCTCTAGTCTTCACTAAATTGCCAATTTCATCTGCGGTTTCATTTGATATACCTTTCTCATTGACCTATTGGACACAAAAACAGTTAGGACTACTATGGCCAACATGTCTACAACTCATTAAGGTGGCATGACGAAACAAAAATATAATGAACCCTCAGCCAAAACCAGTTAATTCAGATGCTTACCAGTTCCTTCTTCACCTGTTCGAACGTTTGTTTGTCCAGCTTGTCAATACTCGAGCAAACTGTTCTGAACTTTTGAGGAGGCACACCACAAATCTCCAACATACCATCAAGCAACTTTCTGTGATTCAATTTTATCTCATACGTGCCTATATCCAGCTGATTCAGCAATTCAGTCAAAACACTGATGACCTCAAAATCCGGTTCCATAGGTTCATATACACCAGCAATGTCGAAGTCACATTGGTAGAACTCTCGGTACCTTCCCTTAGATGGATTATCTCTCCTATATACTTTTGCTATCTGGTATCTCTTCAGTGCACTTATGCTATTCATGGCAACATACCGGGCAAATGGAACAGTCAGATCATACCGCAAAGAGCAAAGCTCACCACCCTGCATGTTATTTTAACAGTAAGACATCAAACCATAATTATGAGGGCACTATCTAAGGAAAACACTGCAACAAATGAATAGAATGAGAGCTCCAGATACTGGCAATGATATCATTAGCCCTCTGCATAATCTATAAAAAAGGCAAGTACACGACAAATCACAGCATGAACATGAATTTTCTTCACCAAGCTAAAATGTAAGAGGACACTGAAACAATACCTGATCAGCCAAGTCATATATCAACTTTGAGTCTTCACCATATTTTCCCATAAGGGTTTCTCTCAGCTCAAATACAGGTGTATCAAGTGCAGTAGCACCGTGCATCTTGAATACACTAGTTATAATTGAAAATGCTCGCTCCCTTATTGCCATTTGCTCTTTCCCAAAGTCACGTGTACCCTAACAGGAGTAAGCATAAACATTTAGAAAAATGAGGAAAGGGAACAGCATTACAATCTGATGAGTACCACTAATCAGACCATATAAATAAAACAGCACCGTCTGCGAATAGTATGATTCTCACCTTAGGAATTTTAGGCAATCTCCTGACTTCATTGCTCTCAACAATCTCCTTCACCTTCTCCACAAGGGACTCCAATCCGGGACATTTGGGATCAAATAGCAATGACAGAGAGGTTGCCCACTCTGCAACCAACGCAGAATTCACGGAAGCAACAGTACTTCCATTTGTCACATAGTCCCTGAGCAGCATCAGCACAGCAGAAGTACCCTTCCCCAAAGTTTTCTTCTTCTTGCTCTTCTTGTCACCCTTTCCTTTGTCCCCACCAGCCTGTGGCTTCTCAGCTGAACTGGCTGCTTCATTCTCAGCAGCAGCTTGCGGCTTCTCAATTGAACTGTCTGCTTCAATTACTGCCATGGCCACAGCTGCTTCCCAGGCAAGAAAGTCCCTGAACTTGAGCAAGTGGTTGTACACCCCCTTCAAGACCGACACAGCATCTGAATCAATCAAAACCTTGTCAAGCATTCCCTTCAAATCATCCACGCTAACGCCACCAGTAAGCTTCTCCCGAAGCTCAGCATCAGCAATGCCCTCCGCACAGAGCCTTGCCCGGGCAACACTCAGCTTGCACAGTGCCAGCACAGCTCTAGCGAGCTGCGTGGCCAGCACCACCAGTGCCTCCTCCTTTCCCTCACCGGTTTGACCAGCATCCCTCTTCCCTAATTTCACAGGCGCGTTGAGCTCGATGCGCACTAATGCGTGCAGCGCCCGCACCGCCTGACGGAAGATCCCATTCAGGGCGGGCACCTTGGCGAACGTGGCGGCAGCGGGGGCGCCTCCCCCCGCAGCGCCGACAAGCTTGGAGCCAAAGACGAGCACCTTGATGTCGGCGGCAACGTCGGCCTCGTCCTTGGCGGAGAGCCCGTCGCCGGAGGCCGGCACGTCGAAGGCCCCGGCGGCGTCCCCGCGCGCGGCCTCGCACGACAGCGCGGCGACGGCGTCGGCGACGCGGGCCAGCGGCGCGGCGCAACAGTCGACCAGCGCCGCGAGCGCGACGGCGGCGGGCGCGGACGCCGCGGCCACCGCGGCCTCGTCGCGGGAGCCCAGCGGCAGCGCGGCGGCGAGGTCCAGCGAGCCCGCGAGGCGGGCGGCCGTGGCGGCGGTGACGAGCGCGGAGGCGGAGTCGGACGCGGTCAGGACCAGCTTGTTCAGCAGCACCGCCGCGGCGGCGCGGGACTCGGCGGGCGCCAGCGACGCGATGGCGGCGGCGAGCGGTGCGGGGGTCTCCTGCGGCGAGGCCGCGCGGGTCGAGAGCGACTTCTGCGCGGAAGGGTCGATGCCCGGCGCGGCGAGGCCGAGGGAGAGCGCGTAGACGGCGGCTGGCGACAGGGTGGCGCCCTTGCCGCCGAGCATCACGGTGGCGGCGGTGGACGCCATCGAGACCGATGCTAAACCCTAGCGCGGGAGGAGGAAAGGGATTCACGATCTGATCCGATGGACGGCATGGATGCGCTGTCTTGTTAAGCTTTTTTTGGAGAGAAAAAAAACGTCACTATTGCAGAATTACGTTGTGTCCAAGCTACCTGTTGCAGTGTTGCTGCAATTGTCAAATGACAATTGTGGTCTTCACGAGTTTTCCCCCCCTCGAAACACTATTGAAGAAAACGTCCTCTTCAAGTCACTGACTGCACTAATTGCCAAGTCAGCTATTCATTACAATTCGTTTAAAAAAGATCGAGAAGGTAATTTGACAAAAATTTACACAAAGACGAGATCAAATACAATAAGCAAACGGAGTAATGTTGAATTGAAGGGAATCATGATTAGCCCCATAGCTCCTTCACTGCCTCCGTTTCTTCACTCCACCATCCAACTAGATATCATTTGAGCACATCGGCGAATGAAAGCCCTTTCGATCTCTCTAAACATTTGTGCTTAGAGCATTTCTAATAGTTTTTCTGTTTGTCTACCTAGAGCTAAAATTATGGTTGTATAATAAAAATTACCCTCCAATAGTCCCCCTATTCAACATCCTGTGTTTAGTGCTATCCTAAATTATCCTCTCTCTCTCTCTCTCTCCTCTCAAATTTGAGATGTCATGTTGTCCACCAATTAGTGACATTAGATCAAAACAGCTCATAGATATTGATCAATCAAACCAGGCACAGTACTATTAGACTGCAAGGTTGTAGCATTGCTGACCCTATATCAAGATTTCACTGCACACATGCTATAAATAAATTAGCTAAAGAAACAGTGTGACACTATTCTTTGTAAAATAAACCTACCTAGACTTGCAGTTAATTCATTTATAGATTATATGGGAAAGACAAGTCAGTCCACCATCAATCACCAATAATAAAAATAATAATAATACAGGAATGCTATACAACACACATGTGTTTTATTGTTTATTGGCACACGTTTTTTTTGGCCGTTCGATGGGTATCGTGTGTGTCCTTGCGTCTGCCCGTTTCTTTCTCTGATTTGGATGGCCCACCTTCGGTACTGTTTTAAATTAGGAGTCGCTTCAGTCTGGCTGCCTC